TGACCTTGAAAGTGGGTCAAGGTCATTCATTTGAACAAACTTGGTAGCCCTTCATCTCCTAGCATGCTACAGGCCTAATATCAGTACCCTGGGCCTTTTGGTTTCGAGAAGAAGTTGTTTGAAGACTTTAAAGACATCTGACCCCAATGACCTTGAAAGTGGGTCAAGGTCATTCATTTGAACAAACTTGGTAGCCCTTCATCCTAGCATGCTACAGGCCTAATATCAGTACCCTAGGCCTTTTGGTTATTGAGAAGAAATTGTTTGAAGATTTTCAAGACATCTGACACCAGTGACTTTGAAAGTGGATCAAGGTCATTCATTTGAACAAACTTGGTAGCCCTTCATCCTAGCATGCTACAGGCCTAACATCAGTACCCTGGGCCTTTTGGTTATTGAGAAGAAGTTGTTTGAAGATTTTAACATATTTCAACCCCTGTGACCTTGAAAGTTGGTCAAGGTAATTTATTTGAACAAACTTTGTAGCCCTTCATCCCAGCATGCCACAGGCCCAATTTCAGTACCCTGGCCTTTTGGTTAGTGAGAAGAAGTTGTTTGAAGATTTAAGACATCTGACCCCAGAGACCTTGAAAATTCGTCAAGGTCATTCATTTTAACAAACTTGGTAGCCCTTCATCCCAGCATGTTACAGGCCCAATTTCAGTACCCTGGGCCATTTGGTTATTGAGAAGAAGTTGTTTGAAGATTTTAAGACATCTGACCCCAGCGACCTTGAAAGTGGGTCAAGGTCATTCATTTGAACAAACTTGTTAGAACTTCATCCCAGCATGTTACAGGCCCAATATCAGTACCCTGAGCCATTTGGTTATTGAGAAGAAGTTGTGTGAAGATTTTAAAGACATCTGACACCAGTGACCTTGAAAGTGGGTCAAGGTCATTTATTTGAACAAACTTGGTAGCCCTTGATCCCAGCATGCTACTGGCCAAATATCATCTTCCTAGGCCTTTTGGTTACGGAAAAGAAGTTCTTTAAAGCAAAAAGTTGACGCCGGACGACGAACGCACGGACGGACGCCGGACGACGCACCATAACATAAGCAGGTGAGCTAAAAATGTTGAGATTATTGCCGGCCTTTGTAATATTTTAATTCCTATTTTTTTTTTTATAGTATACTTACTTCTCATGGTCCACCATATCTAGTATCACAGGGGGGGCTGTAAGACAGAAATAGACATTACTAAAATATCTAGACAGATATAGACAAGTCTAATGAACTAAGGGGGCACTGTATAACAGTCATTTCTAGTTATATTTAGGAAGTAAGGAGGCAATGTAAAACAGTCATTTCTAGATATATTTAGGAAGTAAGGGGGCAATGTAAAACAGTCATTTCTAGATATATTTAGGAAGTAAGGGGGCAATGTAAAACGGTCATTTCTAGATATATTCAGTGAACTAAGGGGGCAATATAAAACAATCATTTCTAGACGTATTTAGGAAGTAAGGAAGCAATGTAAAACAGACATTTCTAGATATATTCAGTGAACTAAGGGGGCAATAGAAAACAATCATTTCTAGACGTATTTAGGAAGTAAGGAAGCAATGTAAAACAATCATTTCTAGATATATTCAGTGAACTAAGGGGGCAATATAAAACAGTCATTTCTAGATATATTTAGGAAGTAAGGGGGCAATGTAAAACGGTCATTTCTAGATATATTCAGTGAACTAAGGGGGCAATAT